TGTGTGTGTGTGTGTGTGTGTGACTTGTGTAAGCTTGCTCTGCATTTAGGTGATGAGAAACCTTCAGTGCAGAAATTAGAGGAAGCCGTTCACAGCCAACAATTACAAAGTAAAAGCATCTCAGTGGCGGTAATTCAAAAACACATACATGTATAATTTCCAACCTCTGAGAGAAACATGCTCAACCACAAAGCCTCTGAGATCAGAGACATTAAAAGAATCAAGGACGTAATGTTTGGGGAAAAAAACAATGAAAAAGAATTCTGTGGTTTACCTTAATTTAATGTCTCATCCCATGAGTGACAGTTACTCCTGCTCCGGCACAGACATCCATCAGATAATTGCTACTGGCGACTGATTTGTTTTTAATGTTACGAACAAATCTTCAGAAAGACACCTTCAAAGTGTTCTGTTTTATTGGCGCAGTTTCCTCAATCAGCCATCATCCGGTTATTATTCCTTCGTCCTGTCTGCTGTGTTTTTTCATGTGTAATCTAGTGTTGCTTCACACCACAGTTTGGAAACACTCACGTTTGCAGTGCTTCCCGTCCTCTGCCAGGATGTAGTTTGGTTTGCATCGGCAGCGGAAATGAGCGGCGGACTGTTGCACACAGTAGTGTTCACATCCTCCGTTGCTGATGGCGCATGTATGGACAGCTGAGAAGAGCAAAAAGGTAAACATTAAGATACATTACAAAATCTGCCCTGCGGTTGTATGCCTCGGCCAACCAGTGCAGCGTTTATCTACATACATTCTTTATTATATGAGGTCAACTTGACCTTTGACCTTTGACCACTCGAATCTAATCACTTAATCGTTGAGACAATTGATAAAATTTGAAGAAAGCCCCAAAAGGCCGACGTTCAGGGCAAAATCATGTTTTGTGAGGTCACCATGACTTTGACCTTTGACCAATAAATTCTAATCAGTTCATCTTTGAAATCCCTTCAAGGTGTTCCTGAGATGGTGCGTTAACAAGAAACGAACAGATGGACGGACAACCTGAAAACATAACGTCTCCATCCACTAGCTGTCGCCTGCACAGAGGCATGAAGAGAATCAAGGGACAGAAACAGAGGCAGTCACGAAAGTATAAGAAAATCCAACATCTTTGCAGAAAAATATAATTTTCCAATCAGCAGTTTCATATAGTTTTTTCTGAATTCTGATTTGACTGAAGTGTCTCTTAAAAAGGAATCTTCATCTGATGGATCACAAGCACCGTACTAACATTCCTACGCATCCTTTAGAGAGTAACTCTCAGAACTGAGATCCATCACCATATACGGAGCCAAGAATCACAGAGCTCTGAATGGCAGGGCCTCTGTGGTGGACAGCACTCGTCCACTGATGAGGTTAAGGACAGAGTCAGTTCAATCATCTCCCCGTTTGAGTTTCCCGTCCTGTTGGAAAGAGATGAGGCCCTCGGTGCATGGGCCTGATGCCAACAAGACAGGTAGAAGCTGAGCAGCCCCGTGTCAACGTCCATCCATCACAAGAACACAGAGCGGCTTCCAGCTCAAATATTATGCAGACGCACGCTAAGTGTGTGGGATTCATCTGATCTCTGCTGGCAGATCAAGATAAGATGAGTGGAGCCGATCGGTATGTGCTGTCCTCTGTCCAGTATATATGGTGTCAGTCTATCCTCTGCAAAGTGTACTTTTACACACTTGTTGTGTGGAAATCAAGGTCTCAGAGTTGGATTCTTGTTTTGCAGCTCACCTCTGCATAGATTTTAAAACCACTCTTAGATATGCGTCCTCACAGATAAACTTAAGTCACTCCACATGTGCACAGCGATTATTAACACAATCAGTCATTTCTTCATTAACCAGCTGTTACACAAGAGCCTCTCGGGGACGGTCGGGTCCCAGCTATCTGCTCCATGATACCATGAAACAGCTTTGACTTTATGAGGCCAAGAAACACACACTAATTTCCACTCTAAATGTCAGACAGGACATTCTGTATACATTCCTGGATGCAGAAGCCCAGTGCTTGGTTTATACTCGATTAGCTATTTCTGAAAAGTCAGTTAACGATGCACAGGTACTGACTGAAAACTGCAGAGAACAAGAGTAGCAGATTTAACAGATTTAAGGAATGAAAGTTTACTTGAGTAGAATTTAATGCAGGGAAAGGTTTTATTTATAACTAAAGACGGGATCCTAAACAATGGCACTCATAATAAATCCAAAATGTGTTTGTTGAGATCCAAAGTTAATTCCCCCACTGAAAAAAGGTTGATTCAATCTGAAACCCTCTGCACTAAGAGCACTACACCAAGAGTCAACACATTGTAAAGAGACTTGAGTACAGAAAAGTTAAAATCATTGTGGTGCAGGGATTTTTGACAGTGGTGGTGTTTTGCTCCTGATCCATCAGACTCACTTAAGTTAAAACATCAGCGAGATGATAAAAATTAAGAAAAATGAATCAATTAAAAACTAGTTTGACCTTGTTATGTAAATTGTTTAAAAATAAAATAAAAGCAACTCCCCAAAAATACAATGTTCCTCACCGAGGCAGGTTCGGCCGTCCACATGCATCCGAGAGCCAGGGTGACATTCACAGTAGTAGGAGCCCCTGGTGTTAATACATCTGTGTTGGCAGCCTCCATTGTGGACCTGGCATTCATCGATATCTGTAGGGATGGAGGGAATAAAGAGAAAGACAGAAGCAGGCGGAGGGAAAGAGAGACGGGAGAGAAATGAGTGTAATTTGCCTAAATCCTCTCATTATGAGAGAAAAGAGTAGAAGCCAAGTTGACAGAGGAATTTTACGCAGGCTTTAGGATGAAGTCGTCCTCCAAGAAGAAAGTGGATGATGGATGAGAAGGGAAAGTATTCTACAAGTGCATTGCAGCTCAAACAAACAAATCTCCCATGTGGTAACAACTACTGAACATTTAAAACCAAATTTAAATTCCTGTGCTTCTCGTCGAAGTCCCCTGGGTGCAGCAAACATATGGAAACTTAAATCAGAGGATGCAAAGCATACACATTCCTCTCAGCCAAGCACCGAGATTATAAACAAATAAATGAATGGGGATTCTTCATCTGGGAAAGTGGCGGCGAGAGGAACATGACCGCCTCGCCGTGCGACCAGATTTCAAATTAAACAGCCTCTGTTCCTAAACACTTCTTATTTTAGGGGTCAGAGACATAATTTGTTTTGTGAGTTTCACAGCAGACCCCCAGTGAGATCGAGACTGACTGTTTGGACTTAAGCTAACAGCCCGCCATCTTCATCATCATCATCATCATCTGGAAATGAAGGACATGAGGCCGAACTCGCGTCCCTTCCGAGCAGCGACAAGTCACCAGTTGGCTTCAGTATTAGTGAAATGAACTGAGGAGTTATACAGTGGAAATGTCGCTGACTGAGACGAGTGACATAATACATGAAAGAGTGTGAATGGGCTCTGGCTGCAGTTTGAGGGTCTGTAAAGCAGCTAACACGTCATAAAAGTCCATTAGTCATCGCCAAGTGAAATGTCTGCTTGAGAAATGTGTTGTTCAGTACAGACCTGACTCCAGGCGACTGTTAGCTACAAACTATTTTAAGAATTCAGACAACTCCTGTAAAAAAGACCTGGTTTATGATCTAGTTAAGTTATATACATCATAGTAATTATATTTGTAAAGACCTCGACCACATCTCGTAAACATTAAACAGTCCAGTACAAACAAACCCCATTAATAATTTCTCCAAACACAGTGGAAAGCTCCTCCACAGAGTAAATAAACAGACTTTTACTCTTAGTGGCGCGAAAAAAATGCACATAAACACATATATACAGTTGTGTTTATATCTTGAAACACAATCCAGCTTCTTCCCACACAACAGAGACGTGTCAGTGGGGGCAAGACAGAAAGTTTAAAGGACATAAATATAGCATCAAACAACTATTGTGTATTTTATACAGTATAGAGTGTAGAGTGTTAGTATTGTGTACAGTGTATAGTGTATTAGGTGGCTCTAACCTCATTGTTTTGTACTGGACCAAACTGCAACAACTAAACCATTCTGCCAAATCTCGAGTTTGTCTTTCTGTCTCCTCACTGGATTTTATGGGTTTTTTTTAAACTTATTTTGCATTATTCATTTTCCATCTTATTTTAGCACTTAAATCAAAAACACAAAACGGTGAGGTGCTTTTTTAAAATATCATTTTTTATGAATTTACCAAGCAGAATGGTTTGGTTTATATATACAGTATATATTGATTTATACCCATAAATCAGATCTTTAATATACACGACCTAAAAACCTGACGTCTCAGTGCATAATGGAAGAAAAGCATTGCTGTAAATTACGAAATCTCAGTGGTTAATAGATGAAACACTGAATCTACTGTTCATAATAAAAGAGAATGGGATTAGATCAAGGACAAAAATGCAGTATATGAGCATTAAGGGATTAAAATCTACTTATGAAACTATGAAACCTGCCAAAGGCGGTTGAGTTATAGAAATATCCCTCGGCTGAACCCATTTTCTCCCAATATCCTGTCACGGCATCCTCAAATACACTGTTTAGGGCAAATGCAAGCTTCTAAACTTTCCTCTCCTTTGACTCTCTGCTGCCAAACTTGAGCTTTGCTTCTTCCAGGAAAGCTGGCAGGAGCCGTCCTCTCTTTCCATCCATGCTGCACACGCTCTCTCTTGGTTTTGGTTTTTCATGAAACGTCTCCAGCCTTTGCGGAGCTGCTGTTCCTGTGTCGAGTGCAGTGCTGAGTCGGTGAATCTTCTCCAGCCTGGTTTCTATGTCCAGAACACGATCCTTTCTCAAGCTCAGAGCCAAAGCCTCAGCAGCCGCTGGCTTCTGCAGGAGGCACATTAAATCTCTGCCACAGCCACCTCCAGCTCGGCATCATCTCCAAGGACAGGTTTGTGTTTGATAGGTTCTTATTGTGAGCATGAGATTTGAGATTTACGATTGATTTATCTCCAAGAACAACATCTAAATAAAGCAGCAGATCACAGGGGTGATGAGCAATATGACAGTAATAAATGTTAAACACGTTTTAGCATGTGCATTTATCCCCAAACCCTGCAGGTGTGCCAAACATGAGAAGAAATATTCAGTCATAATAATATTGACATAATCTGTGGAAAGAGTATCTGGTCTCTGGCCCTGTTTGTGTTCGGATTACAAAGCGTCTCTCATGATTCATAGCTCATGTTTTCATGCGCTCTAATCTCTGTTGATAAAAGCGATCCTCCCCTGCTCTGATCAGAGACCGCGTTATATGGGCAGTGCCAGACAGCGCGTACAGCAGACTCATTATCGTTGAAACTGATTAAACCAGTCTGGCTGAGCCGCAACCCAACACAAACAAATACTCTCACTACTGAAATTCCTACTACTGCTATATAAAAACTTCAAAATGAATAGAAACAAAATTTTGCCTCTGAATATCTTTGCATCTACAAACTTTATCTTTATCTGCATTCTGCTGTGAAACCGTCTCTTACCTGCCGCCGGGTAGCCCAGGTTGTAGCCATGGTATCCATGGTAACAGTGTGGCCTATAACAAATCCTCCTATAGTAATTTTGTGGATAGTTTGCAGCGGATGTCAGACAAGCCATCACTTCAAATGATGCCAGGAGGAAAATCCACCATCGTGATGACAAAGCCATGGCTGGAGAATAAAGTCTCACAAAAGTAATATTTCAACTTTTTAAAAAATTCACTTTTAAACTATTTTCATTCAGGATATTAACCATGAAGTGTTTAAGGTAATAACCAGTTGTCCAGTAAAGACTCCTGCTCTGATGTTACATGGTAACTTGGTTCTTATTCACTCTGCCTCTGGATTTTTCCCCCTCCCTCCATCTCTCTCTCTGTTTCACCCTCCCATCTACCAAAGCTAAAGGTCCAGCACATTAAAGATCCTCCTCCCCCTCTTCTCTCTCTCCCCCTTGTCTCCACACTCTCCACTCACCCTGAGTCTAAACTCTCTCACACACTAAAGGTACATCCAGTGCTACACAAAAAGTCAACAAAGATTTATATCTTCCCCTGAATAATTCATTGCATAACTCTGTTGTGGCACCGTGTGCACATTTGTGACTGCACATCCTTCAGGTGTTGGAGAACAAAGAATGTGAACGGCTGTCTGTATTTTCCTTTTGATATTGACATGAATTGAAAAATAAAACCTGCCACCAAAGGAATGCCATATTTGATAAGTGCCAGAAGTCAAATACAGCATTTTTAATCCAAACATCTGACAAAGGAATGAGCCTTGTAGTGAAATCGTCCATTCAGGAGCTAAGCTCTGTGCTCTCTCATCTGCTGCCAACACATACATCCAGACACAGCAGCAGGATGGCAGCAGCTCTTTGTGGAGCTCCCACAGCACGAAGCATGTTCATGGTCACGATCACTTCCCTCATCCAAACGCAAATGGCCCATAGAGACCTCTGCAACAGGCAGTGACTACAAGCTCCACTTCTTCTGAGTATTCCTCCTCATTAAAGCCTCCGTAACGTACACCTGTCCTGTCATTACATCAGGCCGCAACCATCTGAGGTGAAGGCAAGCTCAGCCAGGACCAGCAGAAACTGATCCAGTTCCTCACTGTGACACGACATGCCAACAGATTCCCGCTCACATCGCACATAAAAATGCATATTTGTGCAGAAGTGAGAATTATGAGGACACAGATGCCAACCAGGTGAGGAGGGAAGCGGCTCAGACAGACAAAAGGCTCAGAGCCATAACTGTAGAATAACTCAGTCTACATACAAATCCTGGAGAGAAGCAATCAACAGGGAAATGTTTGTCTTAAAAAATAAACCCTTACAGGAACCATGCTGCTCTCAGGGTTAACGAGAGCGTATTATACCTGTTGGTTTTGGACGAAGTTTCTCAGCATTACGGCGTGTGGCGAGAGCTGGCAGACCATCACTCCCACCTTCACGGTCGTGTTGGTCTGAGCTGTAAAGTTAATTTGGCATGACGGCTAAAATGTTGACAGTGCTATACACTGCGCTCGGCAAGACAGCACTCGATGTTGGCCTCCTCTACACTGATCAGAACCATTTGCATCAACGCTGCTCGTTCACACCAAAACAAGAGTCTGAAAGCAAAAGTACATTTGCAGGAATTTGAGCAGGATCTTTGGTGAAGGAAACTCTCAACGAAGGAAAAGTGGGAAACATGGAATTTGTTTTTATTCTACTGAACAAAAGATGTATTTGTTCATATCTTGGAGATGCCAGCAGTGTCTGCATATTAACATCCCACAGCAGATGTCTTTCATTGAAAAAATACTACATGTTGCCAAGGACAGGAATCCCCCCTAAGTATTAATGTGGTTATGTGCGGTCCAGCTCTTCTGAATCATTTATTCTTCACAGCTAACTGAATGGATCATGCCTCTCATCCAGACTAATATGGGATTTGCGCAGCGGCCGTCCCAGCGTCTGGCCGACAACGCAAGAGAGGGAAACCAATCTCTCTGTCCAGGCGCCATACCACACAAGTAGCACAACATCCACAACATCCATCCAGCTTCTTCTACCTCTCTCGCCAATTACAGACAATTAGGACACTAATGCTAGCTGTTTTCCTCCCATATGCACCAGTGGCAGAGGGTGAGACAGCTATGAAAGCCAGCTGTGACAACGTTCCCATCAGCTCTCCTAATAACCATGACCTGGATCACATCTCTCGCCGGTTCCTCCAGCAGACAGACTGCAGGGCACTCCAGCATCTCTCCTCTAGGCTTGGCTGCAGCACAGTGGAATCATTATTCTGATTAAACCAACCGCTCACAAGAGAGTCCGTAATCAGAAACATGGAACTACGAAGAAGCAAAAAGGAACCTCATGGGAAAATGCTGGGCAGAAGATGAGTTTTTGGTTTTTCTGCGGTTTAGAGATGCTCTGTGTCTTTCTAGACTGGTAGCTACACTTTCTTCTACAGTTACAGACAGAAAAAGCCAAGAGTATTTAATGGTCTTCAGGGTACGAGTTAAAAAGATGTGGTGCTGTGGTTTGTTTGAGCTAAAATGATCTGGTCCTGATGTTCACTGGTTGCAGGAGCAACATTCACTGAGTCAAATGAAAGAGTTCATGAGCAAATAAATACAGAATAAAAGACCAAAAACTTTTCATCAGTCCAGTGAAAGTTAAAGATGTAAAGAAACAAACCTTCACAGTAAGTTGAGACTTGAAGTCAAATTAAATGTCATTAGTAGTAGAAGTATTTCAACAGGGCAAAAAATATATAAGGGATTATTTCTGCAGTTTTTTTTGCCCTTGTCCGTTTGTTTGTTTGTTAATTTGTTAATTCTGTAAAAACTACAGAAGGGATTTCCATGAAACTTGGTTGGCAGATGGGTCATGGACGAAAAAAAGAACCCAATACATTTTGGATACAGGATCCAGAAATATACAGTTTTCTCAGGGAATAACTGATGGATCTTTATGAAAAAATCTGACATATTCAGGACTGATATCAATGAATGTGTGAAATTCGGTGCAGCTTGACTGAATTTCAGGGAAGTGTTGCTGAGGTATGCAGGTATACTGATTGCCATTCCAGTTTGAGATGTGTTCAGGAACATTTGAAGAAAATATTATCAGTAATGTGTATGTGATAATTGGTTTAATAACAACATTAAACCAATTATATCTGGTATCGTAATATTCATATTTAAACGTGTACTCCATTGGTTTTGTACTTTCATTTAATTTCAGAACCTCAAGAGACTTTTTAAGATTTTTAAGGGATTGCTTTAAATCCACATTTCCGCATTAAGTAACGTGATATCTTCCTTCATGTCAAATCTGCTTGTTATCATCTCAAACATGCAGCTACAGAGCAGCTGCTCCTCTCTCTGACTGACGCAGAGACTTATGCACTGATGCTTTTTTATCCAGCAGGCTTGACTCCAGTCTGGCTCATCCAATATCACATTATGTCCGTTACAATTGATTCAGAACTCTGCGGCCCGGGTGCTAACTTACACCAGAAGGAGAGAACACTTAACACTTATCTGAAAGCCTTCACGTTGTTTGCCTGTCAGGTTCAGAGTTTTTAAATCCTTTAACTCGTCTTTAAAGCATATCTGACATATCTGATATGTTTCTCATTTTGGATTCAGGATGATATCTCAGGTTTTCTGGCACTGAGTCTTCTAGTTGTTCTACAGGGCATTTTAGCTTTTAACCTCCGAGGCGTTGGAAAAGCCTGAGGATCTGAGAGCAGCTGAAAATTATAATAGCTTTAATGGTAAGCCTAAAACCAAAGAACTGAGGGGCCATCCAGATATTGAGCATGAGTTGGATTCACCAAATCGCACACAGTCATACAGTGCTTGTGTGCTCTTCTATCACACACCATTCATTCACTCAGCAGAGCCGTCAGGGGCAATTTGGGGTTCAGTATCTTTCCCACAGACACTGTGGCATGCAGACTAACAAACCCTAAATCTTAAAATATAAAATATTTTTTCACCATTTTCCTTTCTTGCAAGCACCAGTCTCATTTGTTTACTGTGAATTCTAAAGCATTTTGCATTACATGCACTCACCTGCACTAGTAAAGTTTAAGTTTATTTGTATTTCTTTACATTTCAACAACATTGTGATTCAAGGTACTTACATAAAATATAAAAAGCATAAGGACAAAATGTAAGGGCAACTTTAGACGATATATAAAAACGCATTCAGATTGAAATAAAAGACTTGAAAATAAAATAAAGTGATCTTCATGTGCGAAAGTTACTCACCTTTACAAGTTTTACCATCTCCGCTCAGTATTTGTCCAGGAGGACACCTGCAGTAGAAGCTTCCTATGGTGTTACAGCACAGAGCCTCACAGCCTCCGTTGGTCTCCTCACACTCGTTCACATCTGAGGGACAGAAACCAGGATGAGTTTATAACTCAGTCATTCAAACCTCATTCAAAGAGAAATCAGGACAAACAAAGTGAAGTCAGACGTGTTTAAAGTGCTTGATGTTTTGGTTAAAAACAGCAGTGGACTTTTCTTTTTGAGCAAAAACGTTTAAAAAAAGGAATTTATCTTCCTTTTCATGTCAGTCTGAATCTTTGAAGTCCAACATTTGAAAGTGTGGAAAATGTTCAAGTGCCTGGAAATTCATGAGAATCCCTTCAGGAAACTGTGTGAGCTGTTTCCATCCTTAAACCTGTCTCCTTAAGTCGCAATTTCGATGAAGATGAGAGGGGAAAAAATTGTAGAATACATCCAAACAGAATAAAAATATATTTCAAGTGGAAAGGAAACACGCAGCAGTAACGTGTTGTCCTCGCTGCCTCTAACCTTTTAACTTCCTCCAACATGATCACTGTGTTTGTCAGCCGTGCAGGACCGAGAAAACGCTTCCACAACAAGTTCTAGTTTTTCCATTTCATTTCCATCAGGCTACACATGCTGCCAAATCTTTCACCAGCCCAACCAAATAAAATCTTTCCCCTGAGTTCCACAAACTGCACATAATGACTCGGGTCAGATACAGCTGCTGACAGTTCAATGTATATACCATAATTTGAGCAATTAAAATTGAGAATGAAAGAAATAATGTGTTGTTGAGTTTCAGGTGCACATTGGCTCCATCAACGTGAGATTTGGTTCCTGTGGGAGATTGTCAGGAGAGATTATGCTCACTGCTGAGTTTTAAACTTGATGACACCGGGTTGTTTCATTTGCGATGCCAGTGGAAGGAATATTGGACGGAAAACTGATGGAGAAAATTAGGAGGGAGCATTCACTTGGCACAGATGAGCTTCTTCTCTATGTCCATAAAAAGAAGAGAGTTACTGTAAACAGGGAAGAGGACCAATGTACAGAAAATCGCTTTATACAACATTTACTTTCCTTTCCAGCAAGTTTTGGTGTATTACGATGCCAGCGTTTAACCAGACAATTAAATGATTTCCCTCTCAGTTTACAACATCTGGAAATGTTCACACCGCAAACACTGAACAGTAGAATTGTAGAAGTAGAGCTCCCATACAATAAAAGTTATTACCTCCACATGGAAGGTTATGTGTTTGTTTTTAGCGGGATTATGAAAAAATAAAGGACAGATTGTCACGAACTTAAGTGGAAGTGAAATATGGGGTAAGTTTGAGTCAGGGAGGAACCCATTCGATTTTTGCAGATCCAGGATTTTTTTTTCACTTTCTTTTACATCATGAAATAGGGCATTTTCTCAACATTTTTGTTAATTTCTCAGAACGTTATTCATTAATCTTGAAATAGCAATCACACGTGATTAGTTGGCAAATCCTAACGAGTTCCGATCCAAATAAAAATCTGGATCTCGTAAATTTAAATGTGGTTTCTTCAGGGGGCTGTTGGGCCTTGGTGGATATTCACTGTCATGCCATTGTCGTTTTATTTATGATGAACTGCAGCTAAAGATCCAACCTGTGACGCTCACTGATTTTTATTGGATGCCACTTTGCAAGAAACTGACTGAAGGGAAGTCAGTGAAGGAAGAGCGTCCTGGAGTCAAGGGCAGGATTAAACACCCTGAGGGATCCAGTGGTGAGCTCTGCAGCGTGAGCGTGTTTGTGTTGAGTGTGAGTGAGGATGTCTATCCCCCCCCTGAGGCCACACACCTGTGTGTCAGCCAGAGAAGGGGTCTGACCAGGGTCAGTGTCACGCTCATCACTCTCCAAGTCTTTCTGCCCAATGAGCGAGCAGGAATGTTGAACTGCTGAAGGGTCATGAGGAGAAAATGAACAGTGGAATCTGATTGTCTACTTTGGATCGATGTTTTTATATTTGATGGACTTGAATTTGCAGAGTTTCTCAGTTTGGAGAATCATGTTTGAGGGCAAAAGAAACTCATTTGTGAAAAGAAATGATACTTTAAGGATGCTTGTATTGTAAAAAAGATCTATCTAAAATGATATTGTCTTTTCCAATGAGCAAATCAATGAATAGTTCCAAAACTTTGCCAAAAAAGAAATGAACCAGGTTACTGATCATTTGTGGTTGCAACATGGAAAGATGACCTTATTCCCATCATCATATCTCTATGCTACACTGCTGTTCACTCTTATTTCTACACAGAGACAATCCCACCCATAAAAGTAATTTTCCCTGGTTCTTAAACTCAATGACCTCCGAGGACAAGAAAGTCTTGGGGGAGGTTGGAGCATAGGCTACACCCTCTTCAGACTGCAGGGGGCAACGGCGAGATCAGTTTACCATACCTCACCCTCATCCATCCTGGTGTCCGTCACCAGACTGAGCCTCCAGACGAGTGATCAGACACAACTGAGGGCAAGAAACAAGAGCCGGAGTCTGCTTAAAGAAGAGTTTTGAGATCAGGCCTGATCTGTCAACATCAGATCACAGAGGGTTTCTTCTCCTTGACCTGAGCCTGTGGGTGGTGGGTGGGGGAGGGGGCTTCACTTGTTTTCCAAACAGATCAAATGCCTGAAACAAAGTAATGTGTCTGCAGCCCAATTTATGCCCCAGGTCAGAGTCAAAGGTCAAGGGTCAGAGTCGAACTCATGCAGGGAGAATCGCACGGGACCATTTCACCATGTGGTGGACATATATTCTATATTTGGCAGAAGAATCTTCACGGTAAATAAAGCATAAATTCCTCCTGAATAATAAACACTGTGCAGAAATCAGATGATTCCTTTATGAAATATTATCAGTGACACATTAAATTCTACTGTCTGCAGCTCTGCATCCTAAATCCTATTTTTATCGTCAGTTCATGTCATCTGTCCATTCTTCTTTTGATTGATTGATTAAAGGATTAATTCGACAGTGTGTGAACCACTTATTCACTTCATAGCCAAGAGTGAGACAAGAGGATTGATTCAACTGTCGTGTCTGATCAGTCTGAAGCTGCCAGGTTAGTTCAGTTCAACTTGGCAAACTCCAGACGTGCTGGTAAGTGGATTTTATTACTTTCAGACAGAGTGAAGTTAGCAATTCCAAAAATGTCAACAACTCCTTAAGTCTAGTATATAAAGCCTTTTTTCAATTTTAGGCATTACAAATTCCGAGAGTTCCCGATGAGATCTTAAATGTACCTGTTTTTGGTGAACAAGAAGATATTTCATTTTTAATGATGTTGCAGGAACACAATCAATCCTTACATTTGGGAGTTGAGAGCAGTAAATATTATGTTTGACTCAAAACAATGGTATTTCAATCTTTGTAAGTTAACTTCGTGCTTGTCAACTAACTGAACATTTTCAGCAATAGAAACTTACAGTATAATGTAGTTTTTGTTGACTGCCAGAGAAAAGCTGATTCATCCGGATCCCATTGTGGAGGCAGTAGTTAGTGGTTTTGTGTTTTATTGCCGTTTATTCAGGGTTTCATGCAGAGTTTGACAGCGGGGGTGGGCCACACTGCCTGAAGCAAAGAGCACCTCTGCATAAAAATGTATTTTCATGAAAACAAATGAGGGGGAACAAAGAGGATGAAGACGCCATCCAGCGCCAACAAAACATCACGCCAAGTTAGGATAGGAGTTGCTTATGATATCTTTTGGGAGATATCTTGGAGGTGTTTCTATTAGGGTTATAAGGCAATAGGCAATAAAACAATAATTGTTGCAATATAATTTTTATCTCTAGCCATAAAAAGTCCAATGTATATGGATATAATGCTTCTGAATTGTGTAGGCACAGTGAGGAGGTATAAAACGTTATCTAATTCAGATCTGTTAGATGTTTTGCTGTTTATCAAGTGTTTGTTATTTTCTGCTCATAAAGACCAGTTTAAAACCACAACCTTCACACAGGAGCCAGATGTGTCTTTAAAAGAAATAATAATGTGACATTTATCCTCATAATTATCAATATCAACTGAGTCTCCCTCCTGTACTGTATGAATGGTGGAGTTTCTGTACATTGTTCAACAAAGTCAACACATTCTCAGCCTCAATATTATGAGCAAGAGTCCGATTATTCGGCACTGTTATGTCTTCTTGTAAAATGGGAAAATGTCGCTGCAGTGGATGCACCATTCCAACGCAATCTGGTGAAGAATGAAAAATAAAAAAGCTCCAGTGAAACTTCTGATTGTGATTCTGCGAGTTCAGCTGCAGCAAAGCTCTGGGTTTACATTCCTCAGCTGTATTGTGTGACTTCCTGCGATAAGGATGACCGCCACTGGTCCCGCAGGAGGAGGAGGACGGGGCTGATGTTTCGGCAGACTCTGAGGGGCTTAGACTGGGCCAACGAAAACCACCAGACCTCTGATTGTATCTCAGGGGGGTCATGGGCCGGAAAATTGCAGCATTCATCGAGGAATCGGGAGGAGGAGGAGGAGGCCGAAAGGGGGGGGGGGCATCAGAGATAGCGCTAACCTGTTTCCTTTTAGTGCCATGATCTAAAAGCCTGCTGGTGTAATAATTGTGCTTTGCTAGTGCTCATTCTCAGTCACATTCCCTACAGTCCCCACAGCTGCTTTCATTTACCAGGTGCTGTAAAGACGGGGATTGGCCGGAGGCGCCATGAGACGTGTTTCAGTCCGAGGTTTCATTGAGATGATGACTCAGGAGAGGATTTCTCTAACCTGTCCCACACATGTGAGAACTGGTGAAACACAGTCAACATCTTTTGTGACTAACAAACTCACCAGCTATGAACTACAACTGACAATTTACTTCACACTCCTTCACAGGAAGCTCATCCTCACCTTTGACCTCCAGTAAAAAACCCACCATGAAAAAGTTTATTGTAGGGGACACACTTGCTTTATTCTGTGCGACAGGCAGCGCTGCAAGGCTTTCTGCCAGAGCGTGAAGTGAAATATGTTCCTGCAAGCTCATGAAGGTTTTTCTAAAAGTTATTTTATGGACTCTATAACTCCTCGTGGGTTTTGATTGATATTCAGCTCCTGGAGTC